AAGGTAAGAGAGAATAATATAATAAATTAATTGATATAAAAGATTAAAAAAGACAAAAAAAATTAAAAGTGGGTAGAAGAAAAAAAATTTAGTGAAATATTAACAAAATAACCTTATATGTAATAGAAAGAAAAAAAATACATTTAAAATATTAATATTTTAAATTTTAAATTTAAATATAAAGTCGAGACGAGAACGTGATCGGGATCGGAATGGGGATTGCATTACTCATCCTCGCCCCGCTCCCGATGTTTTAAAGCTGGGAAAACCCAAACTCGCCTCGGTCAACTCAGATTTTTTCCGTAAAACTCGGACGCGATGACGGATTGATTCTATGGGTACGAGTTTAATTACCATCCCGAGTCATCCCTAACTAGAGGTGATTTAAAGAGGTTGTGATTTGATTAAGAAAAAAGAAAAAAGAGAGAGTGTTCATCAAATCATCTTCTAGTGACTAAGTGAGTGGTGTTGTAAGGAAATGATAAGTTGTTCTTCCTCTGAATATTATACTTTCAAAACTGTAAACACAATTTATTCATTAAAACGTGCATTTTATTCCATTAATAAAAATAAAATATATTAAAAGGTCTAATATTATATTAATAAGTGAGTGATAATATTTATATAATAAATTTAAAGCTACTAATATTTTAAATATGTATTTAATTTTTTTATATTTTTATAATAAAGTATTTTGAAGTTTAATTTAAATATAATTTTTCTTATATTCTTATAATAAAATATTTTGAAGTTTAATTTAAATTTGGAGTGAGAGTGCATTTGAGATAAAAGGGACGGAAAAACAGTAAAAGTTTTTACATAATATAATTACCTTATTTTTATCAAATAACAAACGTGACTTTTTTATATATATTTTTTAATTTTAATATATATTTGTAAATTGTTTTTCTATGATAACTCTTATCAATAAAGATATTAATATTTATCGTGAAGTTTTTTCTATCACATTTGAACGTGGAATTAAAAAATATGAGTAACACACATTTGAAAGTAATTAACGTCGAAAGCACTTGTCTTGCTGCCCACCTTTGAACATGTCAGAAATAAAGTTTGCAATTCTGTTATATTCAGAACCTTTCCTTTATAATGGTCTCCCACACTTCATCTGTTACGATGAAATCAGCCCTTTGTTGTTGTTTTTTTTTTCAGTAGATAAACTGTTCATAAATCATCACAACCATCTTCAAGTAAAAAAAAAAAATGCAAAAGAAGAAATATCAACAGAATTAGTAATTGAAAAAATAGATTATATATTATATTAAGAATACTTACCATGGATAATATTTTTAAACTGAACACATCATCATTAAATTCTTATTCACCGATAAATGATATTTTTAATGCATATGTTAAGTTGTTCGTAAACTAAAAAATTGTATATTCCGTAGGGACTCTGAAATAAACAAGGATATATACTGAATGCTATACATTATATTATATACATGTGTTGTCCACCGCTGCACGATAGGTCAAAGTAGCTCATAACAAAGTACCCGTTGAATTTATAGATCTTTAAAACTATCATTGTCATTTTTTTTCTTCTTTAAACAATTGTCCATGTAATCTATTTGATTTTAATTAGAAACACATTTTCGAAAAAGTAGTTAACACGTGAAATATTATAGAGGAAAAGATATCTCTTTTAATTTGAGTCTTCTAAACATCATGACAAGTATCTTCTAAAATTTGAGTTTATACTTTAATTTCAATCTTTATCTATATTTGAACTGCATGGATGCATGCATGACTTGTCTTCAATATACAACATTAGTATCTCTCAATAATCAAATCACGAAGCTATCTGGAAAAAAACTATTCTCTTAATTTGCCATGTATTTTTTTTTCCCCAATTATTTTTGTCTTTACATGATCATGCCATGCACGTGCGAATAAATTTATGTATATGAACAGAGCTTTTTGAATGGAGTGGGTTAGTATAACATCCATTTGGTTTCACGTTGATACGTTCCACACCCAACAAGAAAAGAAGGGTATCAAATATGAACAACTATATGCCAACCAACCTTTTTGAAAAAGTGCTATGCCATCACCAATTAAGTGTTTTATTTACAATGTCAAAGAGAAAAGAATAAAACAAAATCATCACTAAAATGGTTCTTTTGGCAAAGTTTTTTTTTCTTTTCATTTAACTTTTCCTTCTGTTTAAGTATAATAATTTAAAATCAATTCAAAAAAAATAAAATCATTATTTTATTAAATTACGCTTTTCTTTTCACTAGTTTGACTTCCATAATAATTGGTGAAAAATATCAACATAAAAAAGATAAATAATATGTTTGAGATGTGAGACTTCGTTTTTTAAGTAATAAATTTAAAAATGTCTTAAATGTCTCCACCAAAATATATTTAGGGAAAAGCATGATTTTAAAATTTGGCTGAATAATGTCTCCAGTTTTTGGAAATGTTTATTTTTTGCCAGTCAGTTAATAAATGTTAGTAAATTAAAAAAAAATCCCTAAAAGTAATTTTGACTTTTAATATTTATATTTACTTTTAAAATATGTCCTATATGTTACTATTAAAATATAATTTAATACTTATATACAAAATATATTTTAATAATAGCATAAAGACTAAATTTGTTTTTATGAAATTCATTTTAATTTATTTAAATTTTTGGAATTAAATCAAAACTTCCATAGATCAAATTGACTTATATGTTTAAATTTTTAGAAATTATAAAAATATTTCATTTATATTCCATTAAATTTAAAATAAAATATATTTAGATGAAATTAATTATTAAAACAAATTTAATGGGGGCATGGATTGGCGCTATTACAGATTGATTTTAGTTTATTTGATATTTTTTAACAGTCCACTTTTTCGTGTGCCATCTTTTCAGCTCAAACTGTAAAATCTAATTCTCTCTTACATGGAGTCAGAAAATTATTTAAATATGCTTTTTATTTGCATGTACAAATATATATTTTTAATTTGAGTTTTGATTGTAATTTGTTTACAAAAGTATAGTATTATCAAGTCTCTTTCCATAAAATAAAAAGACATGTTCTTTTCTCTGAAATTTACAATTTTTCTTTTAGTTAACCATAGGAATTCACTACATACACCTTATTAAGAAAATTAGTCATATGTATAAAAAATATATATTTTAGAAGACCATAATATATATATTTTTTAATAAAAAAATTTAAAAAAATATTTTTTTAGAAAAGCGTGATCCCATCATCAAATTTCTCTCCAACTGCTGGTACAAGTTGAACATTTTGTTAAATAAAGAAATGTTTTTTTAGAAAATTAATTTTTTTAGACGTTTTAGTTTTTATATAAATTTTAAAATTTCTATTCACTATAAATTGTAATTATTCAATAATGTAATTTATTTATATCGACAATACATTAATTAAAAAAAGCGAGATCCGTTGATAAATTGTTTAGTACGTAGTTTATTTTTAAGTGAGAGAAAAATTATATTAACAGGAGTTAAATTAATAGAGATGTTAACTTTTTTTAGTATGAGATCTGCTGCTAAATTAATGTCAACGATAAATTGGACATGTTATAAACTAATTTAACATGTTAATAAACAATAAACAATGAAGTACATTTAAATAATTGAATGTTCTCTTCCAATTTGCCTTTCAGGTAGCAATAAGAAAATGTGAACAAGATTTTGCCTATAAAATAATAATAATAAACCAACTAATAAAGTTATGTTCAAATTGATTTTCGTCTTATTACATATAAATATTCCTAGTGCGATCTTAAGCATATCTAATGACGTAAGTGAAATTTGTTTTGTATTTAATGTCACTATATATGATAAATTAATTTATCAAAATATTTTACTAAAAAGCTGTTTCCGCACAACACTGAAACATAAATAATGTTATTATTATATGGTTCGATTGGTTCCTTTTTTTTTTCTATCAACGAATTTCATTTCATAATTGTTAAGTTTATAAATATAAAACAAAGTAAAAGATAACGGCATGTCTACGTATCAAGCTGGTATCCTATAACCTTGTTATCGTGTTATGTTATCATTCACTCTTTTTTTCAATTTTAGTTTTTGTATTTTTAAATTAATAGTATTTCAATTTTTTAAATATGTGTACTTAGCTATTTTTCATATTTTATTGTCATAAAATTAAGAAAAATACATTTTTTTTGTAAATTTAAAAATACACCAATCAAAATCAAGTTTAATAAAACTACTGAATAAAAACAGATATTTTTAAGAATAATTTACAGTGGCGAAAGACCTATAAGATTTGATTTACGTAGATGTGATATAAATATGGACAAATTTTATTTTATTTTTTAATTTAGATTTGGTTTTAATTTTTCATTTTATATAATAGGAACTAAAGGCTGAAGTTATTAAAAATAATAAGAAATAAAAAACACATATAAAAACTAACAGTGCAGATTAGTGATAGAGCAGCGAAATTAAGAAGGAAGATGTTAATGTGATAGGTAGCATGGTGGAATCAGATTCTTTGATTATGCATTAGTTAAGAGATAAAGATGAAAACTCGATGTGGGGCCAACTCTTAAGTAGGGGCTTCCTGAGTTCGTTCTTTTTCTTTGTATTCTGGTGGTCTTAATTTTATTCCCAAACCAGAAGAAGCTTAGTATAATAAATGGCCCTGTTTCCCAATTGCCTCAAACCAGGCCCGGTATGCCCAATCCATTATAGGCAACATTGTCTACCTACCCTAATCTCCCAGGAATAGTAGTGAGCTCACATGTGCTTGGCATAATGTATGGATCTGTACAATAGAGTCAAATGTTCATTACCAATATTAAAAGACTTGCTTTACTCAATACCTTGCCAGTATAATTTATATTATTATTTCTGCTACTGTTATTATTACTTTAAGAAATACTGGTTTTTTGGCTTCTTATTTGTCCACTTATTGTGCAGTTTTTGGCGTGGAGAAAAAGTTGTGTGTATGTCTCAGTTTGAGAGTTGAGAGAGAGGTAGAAGAATCATGGAGGTTAATCACGTGGAGGAGAGGAGCAAGAGGGTAAAAGGGAGGGTGGTTTTGATGAAGAAGGGTGTGTTAGACTTCCATGACATCAAAGCCAACGTTCTTGATCGAGTTCACGAGTTATTGGGCAAGGGTGTCTCTATTCAGCTCATCAGTGCTACTTCTCCAGACCCAGGTCAACTTTGCAATTAAACTGTTGTAACACAATGCTTGCACACAAAAAAACTTATTTTTGAATCACCACAAGTAAAAGAGTACACGAGAAGCAGAGGGTCTGAATGAACTGAACCCATCGAATATGAGTCAAATGCAAAATAGAAACACCCACAAATTAATCTCGATCTTTTGGAAATATACAGAAAACAACATACTAGGAAGTTTTCAAGATTTTGCTTCTTGTACAAACTTTTTTTTTTTTTTTTTTTTCATTTTTTGTCTTTTGTGTTGTGTAGCTAAGGGGTTGCAAGGGAAGCAGGGGAAGGTGGCATATCTGGAGAGGTGGGTTTCGACCATTTCTTCTTTGGTATCAGCATCAGACACAGAGTTTTCGGTTACATTTGATTGGGATCATCAGAATCTGGGCGTTCCTGGAGCCTTCATAATCAGAAATCATCACCATAGTCAGTTCTACCTTAAGACAGTGATCATCGAAGACATTCCTGGACATGGTCCTGTTAATTTTGCCTGCAATTCGTGGGTGTACCCTGCTCATCGTTATACCCACGATCGTGTATTCTTTTCCAACAAGGTAACCTCGCTCAACCTCAACTCAACCCTTTTGGTTCCAATCTGATAAAAATATTTCCAAAAACCCCTATCTTGTATTGAATATGATAGCACAATATATACATGAAATAAAGAAACATTCTAGGCTATAATTACGCTAACCATTATAGTCGGTATCCTAAATTTGTCTATTAACAGATATGACATTAATGTGCATCACTGTGCATCGCTGTCATGCCAAGCTAAATATGGAAAAAATTAATCATGTAGAATCATGGCATGATACGGTATTTGTAATCGTATATTCTATGTTTATAACCCACTTTCAAGATGGAGTATGAAGGTTGTGAATGCCCAACTTGCCTAAAAAAGAACCAAATTTAGTGGCGCCAAGAGATTTGGTGAAGAGATCAGCCAGTTGATGATGAGTGGACACATAGGAGGGTTGGATATGATTGTGTTGTATTTCATCACGAATAAGATGACAATCCACTTCAATATGTTTTGTCCGTTCATGAAACACAGGATTCTTGGCAATGTGAAAGGCAGCTTAGTTGTCACAGTAGAGAGTCATAGGGTCGGTGTGAGTAATGCCTAGGCTCGAAAGAAGACCTTGAAGTCATTTCAACTCACATGTCGTGTTGGCCATAGAACGATATTCTGCCTCGGCGGATGATCGAGAAACCGTATGTTGCTTCTTGGTTTTCCAGGAAACGGGGATTGACCAAGGAAAATAAACCAACCTAGGTGAGAGATCTTCGAGTTAGAGGACAACTTGCCCGATCCGAGTCACACCAACCATAAAGACGAAGGTCACTCTCTCTTTTAAAAGCACACCCCGACCTGGGCTGCCCTTTAAATAGCGTACCACGCGGAGTGCAGCCCGCCAATGTTCCCGACGCGGTTGGTGCATGAATTGAGATAGGACATGAACACCGTAAGATAATTCGAGTCGTGTAAAACACAAGTAAATAAGGCGACCGACGAGACGTCGATATTGACTCGGGTCGGAAAGTAGTTCGCCATCGCCCAATGCTAAACGATGATTTTCTTCGATTGGCGTGGACACAGGTTTCCCTCCAAGCAATCTCGCTTCGACTATGATGTCCAACGCATACTTCCGTTGACACAAGAAAATTCCTGTAGGAGATCCGGCAACCTCCACCCCAAGAAAGTATTTTAATTTCCCTAAGTCCTTCATACGAAAACATTGATGAAGATAATCTTTGAATTGCGCAATGTCTTCATGATGATTGCCAGCAATGACTAGGTCATCCACGTAAACTAACACAACCAGTTCGACATCTCCTTTGCGAAAGATGAACAAGGAGTGATCGGACGAAGAACGTTGAAACCCATATTGAACAAGAGCAGTTGAGAGCTTGGCAAACCAACACCGAGGAGCTTGACGAAGACCATAAAGGGACTTGCGGAGACGACACACCATACCCTTTGAGACACCAAGAACCCCGGCGGCATTTTCATGTACACATCTTCCTCAAGATCGCCGTGCGTAAAAGCATTATGGACATCCATTTGATGAAGTTCCCAGCCTTTGGCTACCGCCACCGCCAACACTCTGTCCGAATGGTGACCATCTTTGCCACTGGGACAAAAGTCTCGTCATAGTCAATCCCCTCAACTTGGTGATTTCCCAAGACAACTAATCGGGCTTTGAAGCGTTCAACGCTCCCATCGGAATGATATTTGATTTTATAAATCCACTTGCAACCCGGAGGCTTCTTCCCCGCCGGTAGAGGAGTAATGTCCCATGTTTCATTACTTTGGAGGGCCCGAATTTCACTAGCCATGGCATCTCTCCATCTAACATCCCGAACGGCTTCAAAGAAATGCACGGGTTCTCTCTCGCATGAAGGGCCGCAAGAAAGGTTCGGTGGGGGAAGGAGAATTTAGCACAATTTAAGTACTTTGTCAAACCGTAAGGCATACCCGAGGAAGCCGAATGTGGAGTGCGAATTGAGGGACCGAGTTGTAAAGTGGTGTTAGTGACATAATCACGAAGCTTCACGGATGGCTTTCGTACACGAAGACCTTTCCCCGGGGATGCAGGGACGAGTATGCTCCTCGAGAACCTCTAGTTCCGTCATTATAGAGTCGCTTTGTTCCGGTGGGAGAACGATCCGGGTGGGAGGCTCTTGTTCATGGCATTCGGCGTGACCCTCCCCGAACTCGGTTGTGGGCACATCTTCGTTGTGGGATTAACGTCATCGGTCTCCACAACGTGTTCCGCATTGTTCATTGCACCAAGTCCGGGCAATGCTTCCTCGACAATGCCAACATCAACGGTAGGCAATCCTACCTCCGAATGTCTACTGTGGGCAAGAGAGGCAAACGGAATTCATGTTCTACAAACTTAACATCTCTCGAAGTCCGGAAGACTTCTCTTTCCAGATCAAACAATTTCCGACCCTTTTTTCGATTGAATATCCAACAAATACATTCTTGCGACTTCTACTTGCAAATTTGTCACCTTTCCTATCTTGGTTATGTGCATAACACAAGCATCCAAATACCCGTAGATGGTCATAAGTGGGTGGCTTCCCATTCAATATTTCATATGGAGTTTTTCCATGGAGAACGGTTGAGGGTGTACGATTGATCAAGTATCCTGCGGTCAAAATGCATTCTCCCCGAATTGAAGTGGAAGTTCTCCCCGAAATCGTAGAGCACGAGCTACATTTAGGATGTGTCGATGTTTTCGTTCGGCTCTCCCATTTTGCTTAGGTGTTCCAGAGTGCATGAGGTTTGATGGAGTATCCCATGTTGCTCGAAAATATCGTTGAAGACACATAAACTCGGCTCCATTGTCACTTCGTAATATTTTGACTTGTTTCTCGTATTGTCGTTCTATTAAGGCGATGAAATGCATTAAGGTTTGTGACACATCTTTCTTATTATTCAAGAGATATATCCACACAGCTCGAGAACGATCGTCAACCAAAGTGAGAAAGTAAGATGCACCACAAGACGAGGGAGTTCTATATGGACCCCATACATCACAATGTATTAAATCAAATATATTGGATGCTTGAAAATCACTTAAAGGAAATGTGTTTCTGCATTGCTTTGATCTCTCACACACTTCACACACACGAGTTGTGTCCGTATTTCTATTCACGCTCGTTCGGATGCGGAATTTTTCTAACAACTGCAGTAGCGGGATGTCCCATTCGCTTGTGCCAAATCTCTAGTTGATTTTCTCGCATTGGTCCGATACGCTTTTATGCCACTCACACCACGATACCAATAGAGTCCCTCTTTTCGTTCACCCGCTCCAATCAGCATCCTCGAAGTGTGGTCCCGCATTGCACAAAATCTATCGAGTAAATGTACTTGTACATTTTACTTCATTCGTCAATTGTGATACCGAAATCAAATTGCAATTCAATTTCGGAACATATAGAACATGTTTAAGTTTCGAGTCCTCCATCAAGGAAAACCGATCCTTCTTTGTTTGCCAGCACCAATTCACCATTTGGTAGTCCCACTGGGCACCCTTCCAAGGCTCGACTCTCCCTCAAGTTTTCTAGTGTTCCCTGTCATATGATTAGAGGCGCCACTATCAATAATCCACAAGTCACATGCTTTCTTACCAGCCATCTTTTCGGCTTCATTTGCCTTGCGAGAATTCAACATTCGTTGTCAAGATCTCGTCATTGCTCATTACTCGATCCCGCGACTTCGGTTTTTCGGTTGAACCAACGTTATCTACACCAGTGTGCGCCATATTGACGCGAGCCGTTCCTCCTTTTCCTCGGAAGGTTCCTGTTCTTTGTTGATTTTTTTCATCGTTTTTATCTGGCTCGTGGTCTCTCTCCCCACCATTCTCGGGTAACCAATGATCTTGAAGCAATTGCCTTTGTCATGTCCCTTCCTTCCACACCGCATGCAAACAACCGATTTTTCTTTCGCTTCATTGCGCAACTTGTTCCTCGGTTTCCGCTCGCATAGCCATTCCCACGATCATTCCTCGCTCTTCTTTAGACTCTGGTGATTGTTCTCACCCTTTCTTCTTGCACCATGGTGCCATACACCCGATTCAACGAGGGTAATGGATCTCGTTGCCAAAACATTTGACCGTGCAGCTTCCATAGCCCTCATCATCTAGCCCCATCAAGAACCGATGAATTTTTTTTCTTCTCTTCGTTTCTCAAGTTGCGTCATAATATTACACTTGCATCCCCCACATCTACACTCGTGGGATTTGCTCGTAATTTGTCGGTTCATCCCACAACGTTTTCAACTTCCCATAATAGGAAACCATAGTCATTCCTTGTTGTTTGCATTCTCGCCAACTCGACTTTAGCCGCTGGATTCTTGGTCCGTTCACGATCGAGAATCGTTCCTTGATGTCATCCCATAGGTCCTTTGCGTTTTCCATGTATGCAACAAGTGGAACGCAAACTAGGTTCTATAGTGTTTAGTATCCAAGATACAAGTATCGATTGAATTGTCCACCAATCTTCTATCTCAGATGTGTCTTCTTCAGGTTCCTTATGAGTTCCATCTATGAAACCCCATTTCCTTCGAGCCCGCAGAGATATCTTCACGGCCCTTGCCCATTCCTCGTAATTGTACCTGTGTAATCACATTTCCAAGATTATCACTGGCACTCAGATCATATGGCGATGGTGTTTTCTTCACCGTCTCTCCTCTCTCTGCCATTTTAGAAGTACGACTGTGTTCTCGGGCTGTTGGATATCAGAGTTTGGTTCGCTCTGATACCATGATAAAAATATTTCCAAAAACCCCTATCTTGTATTGAATATGATAGCACAATATATACATGAAATACAAAAACATTCTAGGCTATAATTACGCTAACCATTATAGTCGGTATCCTAAATTTGTCTATTAATAGATATGACATTAATGTGCATCACTGTGCATCGCTGTCATGTCTAGCTAAATATGGAAAAAATTAATCATGTAGAATCATGGCATGATACGGTATTTGTAATCATATATTCTATGTTTATCACAATCAAACAACACTTCCTTCTCATGGTCAACATTCTTTTCTTGAATATTCACTGAGATGAAATTGAATATCCAAGGATTTGGTTCATATAGAGCAGAGGAAAGAAAGAGAGGGAGCGAATAATTTTATTAGTTTAGGGAACAAAAGAAAGAGAACTAATTTAAATTTTTTTTGATAGAATTCATACTACTATTTTGTTACTTATTTAATTTATTTTGCTCTTTTTATCTCTCTTATTATTTTTTTAATAAACGAATTGAATTATATAATTTCAAAAATATTTTCTCTTTATTTGCTATTATTTCTTCATTCGTTGTATCTAAATCAAACAAAGCATCAATAGTCTGAAATTTTACTGTCATCAAAACTATTGTAAACAAACAACAATACAAAATTGCAGATAAACGAATTAGAACTTTCTGACCATGTTTGAAATTTTGCGAGTAATTCTTTTTCTTCTAAATACAAAATAAAATAAAACTTTACTGTTTCCGGATTTGTGAAAAAATAAATAAAAAAGAAAAAGAGGAAATCTAAGATTTGAAATAACTTATTCCGGATATTAAAATAAAATAAAATAAGTTATTTTTTTCATTTATTTTGATTTTTTTAATTTAAATAACTTTACTTCTATCTTCTTCTTCTTTTTTCACTTCTTTGTTGTCTTTTCTTCAATGTTTATTCCTCTAAATTATGAAATTTTTATTATTTAAAAATATTAAAATGTACATAAAAAGAATCAAATACATTATAGACTTGAGATATTTGTTCCTCAATTCAACTGTCACACTTGTCTATTTGTTTGTGACTTGAAGAGTAAATTTCATGCAAAAATACATGTATTTCGTAGTCATTGCAATAATGATTTTGAATAATATTTAATAATATCAATTAGAATTTTATTTTTTAAATTATATATATATATATATATATATATATATATATATATATATATATATATATATATATATATATTAGTCTTTCCTTTCTCACAAATGAATTTTTAGTTTGAAAAGCATATTTAACTATACTCAAAATTTCAGATAACAAAAATGCATACAAAAATATTATAACCTTATGTTCAATTTAAAAATTGAGTGATTTCTTTTTTAGATAAAAATAAAAGTTTATGATTATTCTTAAATATCTAAAAAAATCTACAATTTCCTATGACAAGTCAAAATGTTATGGTCCTCTTGTCCAATTTATTGTACACTGGATTTTGATTATGTTTTAAATATCATCATTGTTATGACATCATTTATATGAATAATTATAGGTATTATTACTTTCAATTATTTATAAAAAACAAAATAGTCAAACAGAGAAGAGTGCAGATATAATAGATTATATAATACGATAAAGTTAATAAAGAAAAGTAAAAAAAATGTTAAATAAGTTTAAAAAAATATAAAAGATATTATCCATTCCCATGTTTAAAGTTTATAAATTTTTAACTATTCTCCTATTTTATGTTTATTCCAATAAGTATTCGATAAAAATATTTTTAGTTCAATGATATTTTAAGGTGAATATTTTAGTTAAAATAATATTTTAATTCAAACTATATAAAAAAAAAAGAGTAATATAACTTTGTTCATAAAGTTTGTTCAATTTTATGATCCAAATAAGATAAACTTTATAATTTTTTATTTGTTTGTGGATTGCAAAGTAAAATAATTTGCATACATGTTTGGAATATTTTGAGAGAGAATTAATTTGATTTAGTTTAAATTATAGGAGTCGTTGATTTTTAAAAATCAAATCTTATGTTGCCATTTATTAAAAACATAAGTTTTTACGTTATAATTAAATATACTATTTAATAAGGATAAAATAGTTCAATAAGATAATTAAAATAAAATTATTAACTTTAAAATCAAATCATATTTTAAGATTTCCGACAAACACTTATTGACTATTTTTAAAATCTGTAAAAGTTATGAAATATTTAAAATATGTCAAGTCGTTATTATTAGTTTCTTTCTACAATAAAAAATGAACAACATGAACCTTGCTTCTACGGTTGGGGTTAGAAACCCTTGCAATCCAAAAAACATTATCAGTATACATTGAGGGAAGAGAAAATGAAATAATATCAGTGTAATAAGAAAGAAAAATATGAAAAAAAAAGGAAGGTAAGTATAAAAATTATAGTAGGAAAAAAACAGGGAAGGATTACCTTGACCATTGTTGTCGGTGGTTTGCGGCAGTGATAACATACTCAAAGCTACTTTTATTTTAACATGTTTTTTTTGTCCGACACATGCTTCTCTTGATATTCTCTGTCTCAACTCTCAATAACGCTCGTACGATACTTCCATGAACTCGTAAGTTGAAACATTCATTCTGGCTTTGCGATTCAGGCTTATCTTCCATGTCAAACACCTGAGCCACTGCGCAAGTTGAGGGAACAAGAACTAAATGTCCTTCGCGGAAAAGGGGTGGGAAAGCTTAATGAGTGGGACAGAGTATATGACTATGCGTACTACAATGATTTGGGAACTCCTGATGATGGTCCTGACTATGCACGCCCAGTTCTTGGAGGATCAAAGTTTCCATATCCACGCAGAGGAAGGACTGGTCGTCCACATACCAAAACAGGTCACCAACAAAACCATATTGGAACTGGACCAATATCAATACCATTACATTTCATTTAACAGAAAATAATCTGACTTTACATAAATTGTTACGAATAATAATTTTCACTTGTGACTGGTTGAGTATAGAAGATTTATGTGCAAATTAAACACTTTACTTGAAGTTGTCGTAGCATCATTCACTTGCAAAATTTTCAATGACAAATGATTATTACGATTGTGTCAATGTTACAGACCCCAAAACTGAGTCAAGATTGCATCTTCTGAATCTAAATGTTTATGTGCCAAGGGATGAACAATTTGGCCACGTCAAGTTTTCTGATTTTCTAGCCTACTCACTGAAATCGGTTGCTCAGGTTTTGCTTCCAGAGATTAAATCTTTGTGTGACAAAACCATTAATGAGTTTGACACCTTTGAAGATGTACTTGACATTTATGAGGGAAGTTTTAAAATGCCAAATGGCCCTATGGTGAGTAAACTTCGACAACTTGTTCCCTACGAGTTAGTGAGAGAACTTATCAGGAATGATGGTGAGAGATTTCTTAAATTCCCCGTGCCCGATTTGATCAAAGGTATAGTAATGCTTTTTCCCTTTACTTCACTTGGCCTGGATGACTAATCTTTGTGATTTTATCCTCATTAATGTTTGTATAATTGCAGAAAGCAAGACTGCATGGAGGACAGATGATGAATTTGCAAGGGAAATGCTTGCAGGGGTTAACCCTGTTATTATTCGTCGTCTCCAAGTACTAAATAAAACAATTGCAATTTATGAATTAAACATATCTTATGTATAGATTGTTAATAATTGTGTTTCGATCAAATTTAAATTTTCATCTTAGTCATTATTATAACAAATATTTTTGTTTCAAAGGCCAGTGTAAATTACTTGGTGAAACTTCACTTAGGATCAAAGGCCCAACACAAAAAAATTATGAAGTCGTTTATAATTTTATTAGCTATTCATACTATAACTGTTTTAGCAAGTGAATTAATCTAAATGTACTGAAATGCCACATGCAGGAATTTCCCCCAGCCAGCAAGCTAGATCCCAAACTCTATGGAGACCAAACTAGCTCCATCAGGGAAGCACACATAGCAAATAGTTTGGATGGACTCACAATAAATGAGGTAATAATTATGATTCTCTTTTTTAAAGCCAAACCAAAGTGGAAAATCATGTATTTAAATTATATGTAAACAACCAAACATCTTTTTTTGCAGGCAATTCAAAAAATGAGGCTATTTATATTAGATCACCATGACGCGTTGATGCCATACATAAGTCGAATAAACTCTACCAACACAAAGACTTATGCCTCCAGAACGCTCTTGTTTCTACAAGATGATGGTACACTAAAGCCATTAGCTATAGAGTTAAGTTTACCTCATCCACAAGGGGAACAACATGGAGCTGTGAGCAAAGTTTTTACTCCAGCACAAGAGGGAGTTTCGGCTTCAGTGTGGCAGTTAGCAAAAGCTTATGCAGCCGTGAATGATTCAGGATATCATCAATTGGTTAGCCACTGGTATGACATCTACAAAAGAAATCTCAATAGTAACCCAAGTGTTTCAAACTTAATTCTAGTTTTTATGGTGCAGGTTATACACTCACGCAGTAATTGAACCGTTCATAATAGCCGCACATAGACAATTGAGCATTCTTCACCCAATACACAAGCTTTTGAAGCCACATTTCAGGGACACAATGCATATAAATGCCTTAGCTCGACACACACTCATCAATGCTGGAGGGGTGCTAGAGAAAACAGTTTTTCCTGGTAAATTTGCCTTGGAAATGTCAGCTATTATATACAAAAGTTGGGTATTCACCGAGCAGGCACTTCCTGCTGATCTTCTTAAGAGGTTAGTGAAGTTAGAAAACCATTTGTGGGAGCATAGATTTTACACCAATATTTAAGGGAAAGCATACTATGTTCTAACAAACACACGCTTCATTATTGACGAAAATCTTTTAGAAATCTTAATTTTCTTCATGATTTTGTACTTTCTAATAAATTTTAACTAATAATAGAAAAATGTGTTACTAAGCAAGTAGCAAAGGTTGTCTTAGTACCTGATAGAATTTCTCTCCACAAAACCAAATTTCTATTTTACTAAATTTCAGGGGAATGGCAGTTCCCGATTCAAGTTGTCGTCAAGGACTTAGGCTTGTGATAGAGGATTATCCGTTTGCTGTGGATGGGTTAGAAATTTGGGATGCGATTGAAACTTGGGTGACTGAATATTGTAACGTCTATTACACATCTAATGATATGGTTGAGGGTGACTACGAACTACAGAAGTGGTGGAATGAAGTACGTATTGAGGGTCATGGTGACTTAAAAGATAGGGAATGGTGGTCAGAGATGAAAACGAAAGAGGATCTGATTCAATCATGCACCATTATCATCTGGTTGGCTTCTGCATTCCATGCAGCTGTGAATTTTGGACAATACCCTTTTGCTGGCTACCTTCCAAATCGTCCAACAGTGAGTCGAAGGTTCATGCCTGAGCCAGGCACCCCGGAGTACGAGGAGCTTAAGTCAGATCCTGACTTGGCATTCTTGAAAACAATCACTGCCCAGTTCCAAACCCTCCTTGGTGTGTCACTAATAGAAGTTTTGTCCAGGCACTCTACTGAAGAGGTTTACCTTGGGCAATGTGAAAACCCTGAATGGACTTTAGATGCTGAGCCATTGGCAGCATTCGAGCGTTTCAGACAAAAGTTGTTGAAAATTGAAAACAATATTGTGGAAAGGAACAAGGACAAGATATTGAAAAACAGAAATGGACCAGTGAAGATGCCTTACACACTTCTCTTCCCCAACACTTCAGATTATTCAAAGGAGGGTGGACTCACTGGCAAGGGAATCCCGAACAGTATATCCATCTAATACAACTCTCCTACCATATATCTTCCCATTCAATTCTCTTTCAAGCCATGTATAAGAAATTTCCATACATTACTATGTCAAGACTAGAGTGTGTATAACCTATACTAATGTTTGTCTTTTAAAATTTAATTGTCGTGTATGCTTTGATTAAAAGCAAGTGTTTGATTAATATTTAGAAAACATTCTTTTTTCATAACTTGATGAAATTTATTTTAACAATTTTCATAAATAAGTTATAAAATTTGATAGATCGTGTTTGTTAGATTGGTTCAATTATTTTTTTTTTTTTTTTTTTAGTTTGGTTCTGATTTGGAAGGTCCTGTACAAGGAAATGATTGTTTCTCTTCTAAGTAAATTTTTGTATTTTTTTTCTAGTTTTTACGAAATAAAAGTATTTTAATTTCTTTTATCATGTACAATGGATATCACTGATAAAGTTAATTTTGTCACCTAAATTTCATCAAATAAATTGTAATTAAAATAATATATTAATAGGGTTTGATCTAGGTCGTATCTTGAAGAAAATTGTTTAATTTTGTTTCAAATTTTTCTCTTCAATGTCAAAAGTGAGGAAATATGGAGTTTTTGTAATTTTAGAATGCAGAAAAGTAAATTAAAAGTAATAAACTTAATCTATTAAAAACAATAAATTAAAGAATTAATCCTAAACTATAAAAGTAATTATAGAAAACATTAAAGAAAGTTGTAAATAAAAACATGTAAAGAAAGAATATAAATCTATTTTATGAAAGTTGGAGATTAAGATCAGTGAAGATAAAAACCTGTGTTGATTCTCCAATCATAAACTTATTTTTATGATTATCATTGATTTCTATGAAATTGTCTAGTAATTACAAAAATAAATTCTTAACAATTCTAATTACGTACAATTCATTTAAAATTCGTATTCACAAGTCAATTCCTAAATCAAGTTATCACCTATAATTATCATTGATTTCTATGAAATTGTCTTGCAATCACAAAAACAAATTAACAACAATTCTAATTACGTACAATCCATTTAAAATTCGTATTCACAAGTCAATTCCTAAATCAAGTTGTCACCTGTGATTATCATTGATTTCTATGAAATTGTCTTGTAATCACAAAAACAAATTCACAACAATTCTAATTAAGTACAATCCATTTAAAATTTGTATTCATAAATCAATTCCTAAACCAAGTTGTCACCTAAACCTAAAAGTTGAATTATGATGTAAAAAGACATTTAATCAAATAACCTCAATTATATTGGTTATAATGAATTATAATTAGTTAGAATTATTAAAAATCAAATCTAAACCATAGGAAACAAATTTTAATCGGTGAATCAACAAGAAAAATGAATTAGAACATGGTTGATAGGGAAAAAAATAATACAACAACCTAATATACCAAAATATGCAGCGGAAATATTTTTCTTAAACTTGCAAGAATCTAAGAGGAGCAACAACAATAGGTACTGACAGAAATAATCACAACAGAGAACACCAATATTTTTAGTGTAGGAAAACCTCCTCAATATGAGAAGTAAAAACTCACGAGCACAAGTCAGTCAAATAAGCTCCACTGGGATCAAAGTATGAGCACAAGAGAATCGAATCAAAATACACAAATAAGTACCTACAAAACAGTCAATATATCGAAGCAACAATGCTCAAATACGAAACACAAAAAAAAAGCTTAAAATCAGTCACAGTACGAGACTGATATCTCCAACCACAGACCTCCATTTAATGATCTCAACTGTCAAAATGAAGACTCTTACACCACGAACCTGCTGTCAAAATTCCAACCAGATCAAATGGTGAACTAAGCGACAATCATAATTTTACCGAGACGGCTTGGTAAAAGAGCGAAATTGTTTTTTTTTCTTTTTCTCTTTCAAAGGCTGCGATATGTTCTCTTTGTTCTGACCTAATAAATTCCTCTCCACTTAAGGTTAAGTGAGATAATATAGGTTTGACTAATTTGGACCTTTTTAGACACAGAGTCCAACCCAACAATGATTAACAAATGAACAATAAAAAACAATAAAAAATGAGTGAAGAAGATGAAACAGAAAGTAAAACGAAAGATTAAAGAGAGAAATAAACAAATATGATCAAGGAGAACTTAATTGATAAACTTCATAACATTATTCGTACAAGAAACTTCATGAACAAACTTGGAAGTTAAGCATCACTAAAAACTAAAGAAATTTATAAATGAACTTATGACTAAAACTTCACTTATGTTTCTCAACCTTCAAACGTGTTGGGTCCCTAACAACAGAGAGATTCTCACAAATGGGATCTGAACCAACCATATAATAGAATATGACATCACTCTCAACCCAAAACTTTAAGGCATTAGGTTATGGGTCTTTCTCACTTATAATTTACTTAACTTTCTCATTTCTACCTAATGTGAGACTTCAAACTCATATTTGAATTCTTAACATCTTCCCCTCAAGTGTGATTACCTTTCACATTGATATATCTCCCCTTCAAACGAAAACATTTATTAGCCATAAGTACCTAATAATGACCTTACCTGTATCGTTGTTTAAGTTAACGGAACTCACTTGCCTAATAAACCAGGCTCTGATACCAGTGTTTTTTGAACTCAACCCGAGCCAATCATATAAGAGAATATGAACTCAACTCAAAGTTGATACCAATGTTAGGTCTTTCTGAGGGGGTTAACAATAGGGAGATTATCACAAATGGGACCCGAGCTAACCATATAAGAGACTATGACATCACTCTCAATCCAAAACTTTAAGGCATTAAGTTATGAGTCTTTCTCACTTATAATTTACTTAACTTTCTCATTTCTACCTAATGTGTCACTTCAAACTCACTTGAATTCTCAATATTTCCCTCTCAAGTGTGTTTTCCTTTCACATTAGTATACATTTCTCTCAAACGAAATCATTTATTAGTTATGAGTAGCTAGTAATGAGTTTACTTTTACCTCCTAACAATAAGGAGAAGAAACTGAAAAAAAAAAAAAAATGTCAATCAAAAAGTCATAATAAATTTCTACTTTATCAAACAAAAACACTTGAAATAAACAAAATACTTTTAAATCATAAAATTAAAATAAAACTAAAAAAATCAGCTAGCAACGAAACATAATTTAACGTGCATATTTCTTTTCTTGGTTGTAAATAGAGATATACTTTGATGTCTGCTCTTTAAAAAAAAAAAAAAAAAGACTTTCAACCCTTCTTTTACTTTAGAAACATTTATTTTTCCAAATATACTTTTGTTGTTCTTTTCCTTTTGAAAATATTTCGGAAGCGTTATAATATAATACGGAGTAGATGAATAAGAGTTGTGAGGTTTGGGTAAGAGGATGAATCAAAATCTTAGATTGCAATTGGTCCAAGCCATATCCCCTTATCCATATCCACATCCAAAATCTTCTCCATCCAATACTTGTTTACTCTCTTTCTTTCCTTTTGTTTCTCATTGATCTTACACCACCACAACAACCCCAACATTTCTCAAACATTGTACTCCACTTACCCATGGCCATGGCAACCCAAGCCTCCCTCTTCACCCCACCCTTCTCAGGTCTCAAACCCACCGACCGTGTCTCCGTGCCATGGAAGCAACCCCCCACTTTCTCCTTCCCCTCCCCGAAGCCCCTCAAGTTCTCCAAGACAATCAGAGCTGCAGCTGCCGATGAAACTGCAGAGGCAGCCACTAAAGAGGCTCCAGTTGGGTTCACCCCGCCGGAACTGGACCCAAGCACGCCTTCTCCGATCTTCGGAGGCAGCACTGGTGGGCTTTTGCGGAAGGCCCAGGTGGAGGAGTTCTATGTGATCACATGGGAGTCTCCGAAAGAACAGATCTTTGAAATGCCCACTGGGGGTGCTGCCATCATGAGAGAGGGTCCCAACCTCTTGAAGTTGGCGAGGAAGGAACAGTGTTTGGCTCTTGGAACTAGACTTAGGTCCAAGTACAAGATCAAGTACCAGTTCTACAGGGTGTTCCCCAATGGGGAAGTCCAGTATTTGCACCCCAAGGATGGTGTCTACCCCGAGAAGGTCAACCCGGGACGCGAAGGGGTTGGCCAAAACTTCAGGTCTATTGGTAAGAATGTTAGTCCCATTGAGGTCAAGTTCACTGGCAAGCAACCCTATGATTTGTGAGCACCACATGCTTCATCTATGCTATATGATCATGTACCTATTGTCAAATTTATGTCAAAAATGCTAAACTCTGTACCTTAATTTTACAGCTATTTTCTGTTTCTTGTTACTATTATTGTTGTTGTGTCAGCAACATGTTTTGGAATATTGATTTGCTTCAGCTTGATCAAACCTATAACAGATTAATGACACCGAAGTAGCTGATTGAACTTTGCTGAAATGATAGTTTTCTGCGTTAGTGATGAATGAATTGGATAATAACATAACATTATAGCACAAACCCACCATAGAATCTAAGAGTCGATGAGAAATACCGCAACAAATAATACCTATGTTTTTCAGTAATTGCCCAATGAGTAGTTCTACAAATTTCAGCAGCAACCAGCTACAATTGAAATGCCGGATCCTATTTATTGACATGGAATCCTAAAAGTCGTTTATTTGAATATAAATCTGATGCAATCAAAACTTCAACTATATGATACAAGACGAGTATTTGCAGTCAATTTACTAATAGAAGAAAATATATAAAACTAAAATTATGACTTTTATGGTACACTAGAAAATATTCGATTGGAGACTAAAGTTGATGAGACCATTCGAATGAATACGATACAATGAAAATTTTCCTTCGAGACCAAAGGTACCATGAAAATATCTTTCATAAGAGGCAAAAGTGTAATGAATTTTTTGTTGAATAAAGAAAGTTAACATAATAATACTATATAGAGAATAGAGAAGTACAATCTCCACCTCTAAACCCTCAACCTCAATCTTCATAGAGTTTGAATTTGAAGACTAGTAAGATGTGAAAAAGGTTTTACATCATTGATAGATTTTTTTTTTTTATTCTAGCTTAAAATACTAAAATTAAAAAAAAAAAAAAAATTGTTATTTAATTTTAAAATAAATATATGGATTATGATAAATATATTGAGTTTCATGATAATTATCTTAAAAACAATATTTATCGTAACTTTTTGACAGTGTAATTTTCTGGTAGTAGATTAAAATTAAACTTTGAAAATAAGTCATTTATGTAATTAAATAATATGCATCCTGATCCAGGTTCAGCCCATCTTAATCTAAAACTGGGCCAATATATAAGATCTATTATGACTCATTATTTTCTTAGGGATATAATCAAAATCTATCCTAAACAGTTTGGGATGAGCTCAGTTAAGTTAACAAAATAAAGCATGTCATGAAGTATAACATCGTTAGTTTTTATTATTATTATTATTATCACTACTTGCACGGTTGTTATTGATTAAAAAAAATGATAATGTGTTGAAACTTTCAATTTTGATTCCAAATCTTAGTTCAGAAAAGAGATTCATTTTCTTCCCAGATTTTTGTGAAAAATAATTACACCAACACTAACGGGCTAAAAATAAAAACGCTTCAACATTATAATGCTAATTCTCTAATTGTATCAAGAATTTATCATTGATTTGGAAATTTGGATGTGTATTTTTTTAGCAATTACTCATTAACTTTATATTTTTGTGAATTATATACATAGACACTAAATACATGCTATTAAAGGTATTCCTACATTAAATACTTACAGATGTATCTATCTCAAATGGGTCTGAATGTCACGGATCCTTGTTGCTGAGCAGGGTTCATGTTACTTATCCTTAACTGTCATTAGATCACTTAACTACTTATTATAAATTCAATTATAATTTAAATGAAATTATTTAGTCACTTCTCTTACATCGACATTGTGTCTTTTTGCCGTTAATTACTACTCTATTAGTAAAGGTTAAGAGTGTGTGTGGACAATTTTTTAATAATAATTTGAAGTAAATTGATTATTGAGTAAGTTGAAATCATTATAAGAAATTTTGTCCAAATAACACACAGTTATATACGATCGAACACCAATTAAATGTTACCATTGAAAATGAAAAATAATTTTCTTTAATTATTTGATATAACTCTGCTGTGATTGTTCGCTAATATGGTTTTGTGTAATTTTTGTAGAGGAAAAAAAAAATTGGTTTGCATTACCCAACAAAATGGTAACAACGCGAGTCTTTCTTTTGAAAAATGAATTTATAAAGACAATTGGGAAGCTTGAAAAAGACTTACGTTTATTTAAAGCGTTAATGTTGTTCTCTGTGACGTATTCTCAACATATATTTTTCACTACTAGAGAGACGTATGTATGATTTGATTAATTACAAAGTACGATCTATATGATGAAAGCTCACATAAATTTGAATAGAAATTGAAGAAATGCATTGAAAAACTGTTGATCCAATAGCCATAGTTTGAAAAATCATTCCAACACTGTGATCCGATGCAAAACTCTTTATTAATCAATTGAGTGAAGTCATGTAACATCTTTCTTTTTTAATATTGGCATTTGGCGAGATAGCCAATGACCTAGGGTTTTGTCCTTCACGAAACAAGTTTATTTTTTTTAAAAGAAACATTTTCGAAGCTATCGTAGTTCACACGACGTGAAGCGGTTCTCGAATATTCTTGTACACTGAAAAAAGAAAAACGATGAGAAAGGAAGTTACGAATTGATATCTGAGGGAGAGATTGATTTTATTGATGAGACGATGCATAGACAATATGTTACAATATTCACATGATTAACATGACGCAAATAATTGCCTAGGGGCCATGTTACTTATTGTATTGTCTTGGGTGTTATTGGAGTATTATTTTAATTGCTTAGATAGTTGGGTTGGTTGGGAATGTACACGTCAAAGCCTTATCCCAACATCCAAACAAAGGGTCAGTTTTCAAGCTCCAACCACGGCAGTGGCCAACACAGACTCCAACTCACTCTTCGTTCGTGTCATCGTTTCATCATCACCGTCCATTTCGTTCGCCCATATCTCCGGAATCGCTTGCGCCACGTTGCTCACAAACTCCACAGCATAGTCTGCTTCTTTGCTTTTTACTGTCTTCCCAACCTATATAACACACCACACACACTCATCATCATCATAACATTCAACATTATGCTAATTGTATTAGGTATTATACGACGTCGTATAGGAAATTACCAAAACTGTGTGGAGACCCATTTCTTTCCCCGCGGCAATGTTTCGCACGCTGTCATCTAGAAACAGCTGCAATATATAACAATTATTCATCATTCGTCTCAATAATTTCTAATAAAAAAATAAAACTGGTCTTTTCCGACTTTTCCTTACATAATCTTCTAATTCAGTTTTCACTGTCAAAAAACGACATCGCGAAACAAGAAGTGACGAGCCGTTTCGTTTGTTGACTTTGTCCTCTCTTATATTGTCTGTGGAAACACCTTTTTTATATTTCTATTTACGATATATTTGGATCAATATTTAGAAATTAGTTTTCTTAAGAAGTAATTTGACCTCTTAACAAAATATTTTCTGTACTAATTAATCGAATCCTTCATCTCATACCTAAAACAACCCTGCGATCAACTATGTTAGTACTTGTTCGTTTGGATTTAAGATACCGGTAACGCAACTTTTTAAATTAATAATTTTAACATAATTTTAAAGTAAACGTGGCTCGCGGTGCCCTTACCGTACGACGCGGATCCACGTTGGCAGCATGGAGCGCGATCTTGAAGGCGTCCAGCGATGGTTTGAGGAGGACAGGGAATTCGTCGGGTCGGGTCGAATTCGGAAGGTTCGGGTTTATAGTCTCGAAGCAAATAATTTGCTCAAAACAGTCCTTGATCCCAAGCCTATCCAACGCTCTCATCGCGTGAATCCTATCCGAATTGGTAAAAACCTTCAAAAATATATAAGAAAATAAGAATAAAATAATATTAATAATAATAAAAAAACAGAGGAAAGAAAATTTCCATTAAGAATTTACATACAATTTTTCTTTGTTTGATAGTGCAGAGGAGGTTCCGTAGCTGAACGTCGGGCTTGATCGAGTCATAAGGTAGCCTTCCGTGCACGAAACTGGTTGAAAGTTAAAATAACAAAAAATTTAGTTCTAGTTTGTTTAGTGTTTATGAATAAAATTTGTTTGACGGAGTTTTATTATGTTGTGTCATTATCACCTGTGGTATTCATCTGCGGTGATATCATAGCCTAGAGCCTGGAAAGTAAGGAGAGAGAGATTGTTATAATTATTATGACTATTACTGTATTATGGAAGGGACATTGATGGAAATTGAAATGGTGTGTGTTTTACTGACTCGCAAACCAGCGAGGGTGCTTCCGTAGGTTTTGAAGAGTTCAACTCGGAGAGTGAGTGCTTTAGGTTCTGAAAATCCACATTTCTCGATGAGAAAGAGTTCGATGTTCTTCTTGACGCAGGAGTCGATTCCGGTGGTGAAGGGGTACAAGGTGTCGTCCAAATCTGTTTAATTATTAAGAATAAGAAATAGTGATTTGGTAAGGAGAGGAAACAGAGGAAGCATGAGTGTGTACTCACCGAAGATGATGGAGTCGAAAGGTGAAGCGTTGGTGGTGATACCCATGGTAGAAGAAGAAGAAGAAGAAGAAGAATAGTAAAATGGAATGCGGGGTACGGGAAGTGAGTGAGGAGAAGGAAGCGAAGCGAGGTTTGAATGAAGGGAATGGAGCTGAATTTATAGAGAGGAGATGACGTGGACCATGTGGATTGGATAGACATTGATGATGAGAGGATCGCTGCGTCACCGTTTCGAATTTGGAAGCCGAGTAGACGAGGGGTCCACACGATAAGCACATTTCGCTAACTACTATATCCGCGCTAAATATTTGCATGGACGATAATACCCCCGCGCGGTGCTGTCTTACCCAATATCACAATTAATAATACTAAGATTATTGTAATTACAACGATTTTGGTTTTTTTGACAGACACATTAACCTGTCTATTTATAATCTGAATATTTTTTTCTTTTCAGTTTATTCCATTTTCTAGAAACCTCCTCCTTTTCCAGAGTATCAGTTGAAGTTATATATATATATATATATATATATATATATATATATATATATATATATATATATATATATATATACTCTAAATTTTTAAAGTTATTTATTGTAGATCAAATTCTATATTAAACAAAATCTATTTTGGAATAATTCAAAACATAAATTATATACCTACAGAGATATCCTACATATATTCTTTTATTATTAGTCTATTTTTTTCATTTGGTTAGTTTGTTATTATACAACAGTAATATCATTCATTACAATTTTATGTTTTGGTGATAATAATTCTACTATTCACATTATAAAGAACCTTTCATTTTATTAACGCACTAAGCATATCGAGATTGATTGTCATGTTACAAGACAGAAGATTATTAAAGGTTTTATCAAACTTTTTCATATTCTTTTCAATAATCAAATTGCTAACATCTTTACAATCATCCATCTATATTCAAATATATTATATCCAAATTAAGTATGCACAACATCCATGCTTATCTTGAGGGAGGATGATAGATATCATAAATATATTTTTCCATTAGTTTTCTATTTTTTCATTCTATTAGTTTATTACTGTACAAGTGTAATATCATAGATAACATCTCTCTGTTAAGTCTTGTATATATAAATCATTTTTGGTTTATACTTTGTAAATTTTTATCCTTTATAATTTTTCTTACAATAATGAGAAGTTCTCTCTTTTTTGTGCACTCTGTCTAGTTATATACTTTAAACGTCAAATTAAACTTACACACAATATGACTAAATAACTTCAATTAATTCTACAAGAAAAAAATAATATTAATGATTAAATAATTTATATTAAATTAAACTTGAAGGTTCTGTTTAGAATTTTTGTTAGATTTTTTTAATGGCCTTTTTGGTTGAATTCTTGTTAGTATTTATTTTTTAATTAGGTTTTGATAATTAGTTTTTTTAACAAAGTAGTTGAAAGAAAATACAAATTTAATGACACTTACAAAAACTGTTGTAGAGATTTATTATATATATATATATATATATATATATATATATATATATATATATATATATATATATATATATATATATATATATATATACTAAACAGAATGGAGTTTAATGAATTTAAATATACATTTATCTATTCTTTTATATTTACATGGATCTCTCTTGTATACCTTACAAACTATTTTGCAAGTCATTTTGTTTTTCGAGTAGGTGTAATGTACAAAACGTGTTAGCTTAATGTTTCTTAATTAATCAAGGAAGGTTATTGTAATGATAGAAAATAAAAGACGATATTTCAATAAAAAAAATAATTTAACCATCTACCAATACAATCACAAATACGAATTATTTTAATAACACAATGTCATTATAAATTGATTAATTATTGAGAAAAGTAAGTAGATGGGATAAATATAAATATCTATTAAAGTGAAATTAACTTAATGAGTTTGTGAGTTTAATTACTTTTTTTAATCAAACTTAATGCAATAATCATATTGATACACTATAAGAAAATTATTAATTACCGATAAATATTTACCTGATGGATAGGAAGTCTACGGAAAATGAGTGATTATCGATGAAAATTACCGATGAATTTTAAGTAGTTATGGAATTTGGTCTTATCGAGGGATATATCCGGTCGGTAAATGAATAATTAATTACCGATGAATATATCCGTCGATAAATTAACAGGTAAATGAACAATTATTTACCGATGGATATATCCGTCGGTAAATTAACAAATAGTTACCCACAAATATTACCAACGGATTTAAAATATATTTTTAAAAATCAACATTAAATTAAAAAAAATAATATTTAAAATTATATAATAATTACTTAATTTTAAATATATTTTAATAAATTAATTATTCACCTAATTAAAAATTAAAATACTTTTTATTTAATAATTTAATTTAATCATAATTAAATTAATTTATAATAATTTGTTAAATTAAATAATTTTGAAAAATATTTTTAAAAATAAATATTTTAGTATTTTTAATATTGAAAAAATTATTTTAATGTAAGAATTTTAATTAAATAATAAAAGAAAAAAAGATAACAAGAATAAATTAAAATAAAATAAAAATAAATAAAGAAAAAAATTATTTTATATCATTATATAAATAAATTATAAAGATTATATTCTGTCATTAAATTACAAACTTATATAAAGAAATCCGTTTACAAATTTGACATCAAATTTTGAAAATTCACTCGACACACACTTTCACCTTCGAAGTACGCTCTCACATCCAATATATATATATATCAAATATAATATAAATAGGAAAGTGACATCTAAATAAATAGAAGATATTATAAATAAATAAAATAATAATTTAAATTTCTAAAAAATAATATAATTAAAAAATATTACCGACCAATTTTGTTTATAAAAAATTCAATTTTTTGTAATGATAAAACAATTTCAACTTACTTTATTATCATCGTTATATATTCCATTATTTGATTATATTATTATGTATTACATATTCAACACCCATTTGGTGGTATTTTTAGAAATTTAGTTTTTCATTTACACACTTTAATTAAATTAGATAATACTAGTATTTGTTTCTTAAGTAATAATGACACCCGCTACTGTAATAACTTCTAACCAAGATTTTTTTAATCACTCAATTTTTCATTCATATATAAGTAATATTGTTTCTTCTTATTTTTTTCTTTTATATATATATATATATATATATATATATATATATACTCTTAATTATACTTATAATAATAATATCCTATTATTATTATTATTATTGAATTGAAAAATGAGTCTATTTTATGAGAACAAGAATAAACTTTTTTTACTTTAACATCAAGGCTCTTTTATGTATGTCTTAATTGATGACATTTAATCCAATTATATATATCATGATTTTTTGATACGATTTTTTTTTTTTGAGTTTTTCTATTTAAATATATGTTTACTCATCTAATAACCCAGTGATACGTGATTAACTTATCAATGACCCGAAAGAAAAATGATAATTTCGGTTGAATACGCTTTAGGGAGATTTTTTTTTTTTTATCTTTATTTCTAAACACAATTGTTGGAAGCGGTGAAACAATGATTCAAATATAATGATTCAAATATAATATTCAAGCGTGTATTAGAGTGAGGTAAAACAAATATTTAAATATAATATTCAAACATGTATTATTCTTCAAGATAGGCAATAGTAAGAGGACAAAGACGTGAAAAAAAAGAAGAAGAAAGAAATAGAAAGAGATTCTGTAAAAACTTAATTAATCAATTGGTAGCATTTTATTATATCAGTTTTCCCTTATCTGTATTATAAATTTAGAAAAAGAAATAAAGCAAAAATAAATTAACACAATATATTTTTTATTGCACTTCTCCTTTGTTCCTACTTTACCCAGAAACGAACAACAGACAGGTTATGGAATCATAATTGACTCCAATACGACATGCATTGAATACAGAAATCGTGACAAGGTACGAACTTGACATTATCTTACCAATCGTGTCACAGCTTTGTGTTACAACTCAGATATGCAAATTTAATTATTTATTTCAAACTTTTTCAAAAGATATTCAATAAAATACTCCAAACATCACTTTGAGGATAACGTCTTCTTAAAAAAATGCTATTCTTTTTAGTTATAAATTTTGGTCTTGTCTTCTTCTTTTTTCTTCAAAAAATATAAATAAATATAATTCTTTTTCTATAATTAAAGAGTATTTCTATACTTTTCTACCACACTTTATTAAATTTTAAATAATTTGTAAAAAAAAATATTGAATAAGAAGTAGCTATATTTAAGAGAGAGAAAGCCATGTGAAGACAAGATAAAATCTGATCAAGCTCAAAAATCATTTATGAATAAATTTGGTGGAGAAGTTAATAACCTCTGATCTTCCATTAATGTAAAACACAATAACCATACAATAATATTTAATTAAGATTATGCTAATTTGTTCATGGGGTTAGTTGCATTCATTTTATTCAACGAAGAGTTACCACAAGATACTTAATTAATATATAGGTAACATCAATGCTTTTTAATTAAAAATAAATAAATATTTCATTATTATCTACTGAATTTTTGTGTAGAATTTGTTAATAGGGTTCGCCACGTTTATCAGAAAGTCAAGATTCAAGACTTAGAGAGTTCGGATTGCCACATTTTTTAAGGTCATATGTCATTCATTATTCGCAATCATCCACACCAAAACAGTGAAATTTTGGTAGCGATCTGAAAGGATCATAATTTATCACAAAGTCAATATAATGATTTCGTATGTGCAGTAAAATTTAGTTCATCTTTAATTACAATTTACATGTTGTTGATGTCTTACCAGTTTGTACTACATTTGAATACTTTTCTAGATAACCATTATTTTGATTTATTTTTAAAATTTATTAATTATTAAAATACACTGTCTCGTGTTACGCTAATAATTTTACAATCTCAAGGTATTTTTATTTTCACGTTTTAGTTTTAATATGTTATTAAATTAATCTAATTTTATTTAATTTTAATTGAACCAAACTCAACTCAATTTGATATAACT